AAAGCTCAATGGTCAACAGGGACAAGATTCGACTTTCAAGCTGAAGATGACAATAGCTTACAGCTTCCGATCTTTGATATGGTCACCATCTTACGAGCAACTAACAACTTTTGTGATTCAAATAAGTTAGGAGAAGGAGGTTTTGGCCCCGTATACAAGGTAGAGATTAGTCTACAATTTCATAATCGTACAAAAGAACAGTTCTGTTCATTCATGCAATTTCATTTGTCTTGTCCTGTGTCACTCGGGAAAAACTATGCAATTCACTTGTCAGGGTCAGCTGTCAGATGGACAAGAAATAGCAGTCAAGAGATTGTCAGAGGACTCTCGGCAAGGTCTTAATGAATTCAAGAATGAGGTAATGTTAATCGCGAAGCTTCAGCACCGAAATCTTGTCAAGCTTCTGGGGTGTTGCATTGAAGAAGAGAGGATGCTAATCTATGAATACATGCCTAATGGAAGCCTAGACAATTCCATATTTGGTTTGCTTCAATCGATACCTTTTCCGATTTGAATCCGATTCAATGTGCAATTTCATCCAAATTACTGATTAGAAAAAGAATTGAATCAGGTAAAACAAGGGAAAATTCTCTAGTATGGAGAAGGCGATTCGATATTATCATAGGAATTGTGAGGGGACTCCTTTATCTTCATCAAGATTCGAGATTAAGAATCATACATAGGGATCTCAAAGCAAGCAATGTGTTGCTCGACAGTGAGATGAATCCTAAAATATCGGATTTTGGGGCGGCTAGAGTTTTTGGCGGAGATGTGTCACAGGCAAAAACAAAGAGGATAGTCGGCACTTAGTAAGTAGTGAGAATTTTTTCATGGGCTTACACATTCATATTCAAAAACCTATTCTAGTTATGCATATTGTTTTACCTGCAGTGGTTACATGGCTCCTGAATACGCAATAGACGGGCTTTTCTCGACAAAATCAGATGTTTTTAGCTTTGGAGTACTATTGCTTGAGATAATATGCGGAAAGAAGAATAGAGAGTTCAATCATCCGGACCACAGCTTCAATCTTGTCGGACATGTGCGACATCGTTCTAAGAAGTCAAATTCTCAAAATATAGGAATACTTTGGTTGGATAGGGCCTAAAAATTCTCCTTTTTTTTGTCAGGCTTGGAAGTTGTGGCTTGAGGGGAAAGTGAGCGACTTCATAGATTCACAACTTCCGGATTCTTTCAATCTGTCACAAGTTGTTAAATGCATTCAAATCGGGCTATTATGCGTGCAACGGTGTCCTGACGATAGACCGAATATGTCATATGTGCTTCTGATGTTGGACAGTGAGAGCGCTTTGCTGCCACAGCCCAAGCACCCTGGTTTCTACATTGAGAGGAGCACTGAAAACACAGACGTTGAAATGAGTCGAAGAGATTGTAACTCGAATGTGATTACCATGACATTATTAGAAGCTAGATAGATTGCCAAGCATGTGTAGTCTCTTCCTTCTGCTGAGTTTTTCCATTGTGAGATGGCAATGCATCACTAATCGAGAGATGTTCAAAGTTCACTAGATGTACCTAATTATGGGAGAAACTGAAAAGGTGAAGTTTAACGATGGTGGGGCTCCTCCACCCGCCAAAGCAGATTGGTGAAAAAGACATTTTGTAGCCAGGAAAGCGGTAATTGGCAGCCGCCTCCGGCCCAAACTCTGAGCATATCCTGTGTTGGCAACATCAATTTCAATACCATGTGTTGATTATAGCAGTGATAGAAAAAGAATCTTAATATATGAAATACTTAATTATGTTCATATCAAATGATGTTACAATCAATCATAGAATATATAAGTCTCGAAAAAATTATTACTTCTTGCACTTTCTTAGCATAATATCCGATCGGTTGCATGCTTATATTTATCGATCTGATCACCAGGATAGGCAATTCCAATGATTAGTGGGGTTCCACATGCTTCAACATTGAATGAAGCATCAGGTTGAAGAATCAGGTTAGTCGCTTATTGTGGTTGTGCAGCTGTATCAGAATACCATGGACATGTTGCAAAAAATTCTGTTAGAATCGAACTTCCTCATGCTTGTACACCTTCAATGGTTAATTCCTGCACATGTTAACGACACGGGCTCGGTCACCTTTCAGTAGGCTAAGCTGCTCTTGCCCGAGGCTGAAAGCTTAGGCTGTCATCCTATGATCAGTATTTTACTAGAGGGTTAATGCCACGAAAACCGTAAAATAGTACACCTGTGACATTTTTACCCCGAACTAATTTTTTTATCACAAAAAATTCCAAACTGATACACCTGTGACAATTTTACCCCAAACTAATTTTTTGATCACTAAAAACCCCAAACTGGAACATGTGTGACTAATTTACCCTTCGTTAGTGTCCATTAAATTGGATTAATATCACGAAAAATCACAAATTGGTGAACTTGTGACAAACAGAGGGGTAAAACCCCAAACTGGTACACTCGTCAACTATTACGTGTCCTCAAACTTAACAATTTGACAATAAAATTTAATGGAAACTAACGGAAGGTAAATTTGTCATAGTTGACCAGTTTGGAGTTTTTGGTGGTCAAAAAATTAGTTCGGGATAAAACTGTTGCTAGTGTACTAGTTTGGGGTTTATGCTAGTCAAAAAATTAGTTCGGGATAAAATTATTACAGATGTACCAGTTTAGGGTTTTTTGTAGTCAAAATAATAGTTTGTGGCAAAATTTATCACATGTGTATTAATTTAGATTTTTTGTGGTATTAACCCTTTACTAGACATTGTAGGAGCATAATTGGCATTCCACACTGTCAAGCACCATCAACCTTATACAATATGTCGAGAACAATGCCATCCTCAGTGTACATCGGACTATGCGTACATCACATTCTTTTTGCTATGGAATACCTCGTTCTTCCCGTCATTCCACATGAATGTGGCATGTGCACTTCCGCTAGTTACAACGGATAAAAGTTACGGACTATTGAGAATTACCTGGGAGAGGAGAGAAATAATAAGATAATATCAGTTGAAGGAGAGAGAGAGATGGTGGACAAACTAGGCTGATTTCGTTGACCAAAAATTCAACAATCTCATCGCCAACTTCGAGATGGTGGGCAAACTAGGCTGATTTCGTTGACCAAAAATTCAACAATCTCATCGCCAACTTCGGGGCCGTGTGTTCGTCTCCTGTACAATATCTTACGGAAAATTATCAAATCAGTCATAAATCTATTGTACGGCGGTCAATTCAGTCCTAAACCTTTTAATTTTATCAATTAAGTCCTAAACCTTTCTAATTCTTGCCAATTCAGTCATTTTGGCCAATTTTGACCGCCAGCCGGCGCCGACCGTCCGGCCAACGCTGACGTAATAATTTTTTATTATTATTTTTTTTAATTTTTTAATCTTTTTTTTTCTAATTTCTTCCTCTGGCCGGTCCGGCGACCGGCGGCCAGCCAAAGGGGAGGGCCGGCGAGGTCGACCTCGCCGGCCTCGTCGCTGCTAAGGCGAGGCCGACCTCGCCGTCGCCTGGGGCACGACGGTGAGGTCGAGCCTCGCCAGATCTGGGCGAGGCTCGACCTCGCCGTCGCGACCCAGGCAACGACGAAGTCGAAGTCGGCCTCGCCTCAGCAGATCTGGGCGAGACTCGACCTCGCCAGATCTGGAAGAGGCTCAACCTCGCCGTCGCCTGGTTCACGACGGTGAGGTCGAGCCTCGCCTCGCCAGATCTGGCGAGGCTTGACCTCACCGTCGCGAACTAGGCGATGGCGAGGTTGGCCTCGCCTCAGCAGCGGCGAGGTCGGCCTCGCCTCAGCAGCGGCGAGGTCGGCCTCGCCTCAGCAGCGGCGAGGCCGGCGAGGTCGACCTCGCCGGCCCTCCCCTCTGGCCGGCCGCCGGTCGCCGGACCGGCCAGAGGAAGAAATCAGAAAAAAAAAGAAAAAAAAAGATTAAAAAATTGAAAAAAATAATAAAAAATTGCCACGTCAGCGTTGGCCGGACAGCCGGCGCCGGCCGGCCTAAATTGACCGGAAGGACTGAATTGGCAAGAATTAAAAAGGTTTAGGACTGAATTGGCAAAATTAAAAGGTTTAGGACTGAATTGGCCGCCGTACAATAGGTTTAGGACTGATTTGACAATTTTCTCCGATATCTTGTCTTCAAGAATAGGAGAATATGACCAAGAAAGAGGGCCAAAGAGCTTCTGATACATGTGATGACCTGAGAGTGACACAACACGCTACACAATTACTAAAAGTCACAATCTTCAGCACCGACCCAGTATCTGTGTCTGTCGTGAAGCTGACTCCATGGATACTTCAAGAAGGCAAAGTCTGCGGCCAATTCACTCTTGTGAGGTCAAATGACTAATGGCAAGTTAAGTGCGGCACCCACAATCGTCCAGGATAGGACCACAGACTAATCGGCAACGGTCGATCCACGAGAATTGGGTCTGTCTTGGAATTTGCGTGCACGTGCATCACACATACAGAATTTTGCGTCCCATAGTTTTTGCGTTCTTGTGAGATTATTTCTTTGCCTTTTCACATCTTAATCACTTAGCACCCTTTGTTTTCACAACTACAATATGTTCCGTCAGAGAGCATTTAAGCTAAAGGATTGCGGGAGAAATGAACCAGCCAAGAGAATTTAACGGGACAGTGAAAAATAAAGAGGGGAGGGCGAATTTTATTTGTACTTGATCAATGACGTGACAAACTTGTTCTTCATGATTGATGTGAATAATTTGCCAGGCTTTCACACTTTGATAAACCTGACAGTAGTTGGCCTTCAAAGGACTTTGTCGAAATGCGATTACTAGCTTGGTGCACGGTTCGCATAAGTTGAAAAGTCCAATTACATAAAATGTCTTGGACCTTTTCCCCCTTTCCCATTAACTAAGGCGAAAGTGACTCAGAAACGGGCCATCCTCAGACTCAGAAAGTCTGTTAGGTATGTGGTGTGTGGCTACCAGCAAATCTTGATCAATTTATTGGATCGTGGAACCAACACAACATGAGGAACTTGTCCTGCTCTCTTCATTTCAACAAACACCGGGTTTTCGGCAAACTCTATTTTTTATTCTCCTCCTGCTAATTCTATTTGCAAGCATGAAAGACTAATAGATGGATATTCTTCGTTTTTCCATACCGTATTTCATTTCAATCTGTATGTTTGCACTAGAAGTATGCAAGTCAGTTGACGCGTTAAGCTCATCTGAGCCAATTCGAGATGGCGATACCCTAGTGTCTGCAGGAGAAAAGTTTCAGCTAGGATTCTTCAGCCCTGGACACTCCAGCAACAGATACCTCGCAATATGGTACCACAACATCCCGAATAAGACCATTGTTTGGGTGGCAAATAGAGATAATCCGGTGAATGGTTCGTCAGGGGTTCTGAGGATAGGAAACGAAGGGAAACTAGTCCTTGTTGACCAAGCAGAAAGAGTCTTGTGGTCGTCGAATAACATGAATACTTCTTCGCAAAGCATAGTTGCTCAGCTCCTGGATTCTGGAAACCTTGTTTTGAAAGATGACAGCGAAAATGTCTCCGGAAACTATCTTTGGCAGAGTTTCGATAACCCCTCTGACACAACATTGCCAGGCATGAAGCTCGGGTGGGACCTGAGAACAGGGTTGGACCGGCACATGACATCCTGGAAGAGTGCAGAGGATCCCTCAACTGGAGACTTCACCTATGGTGTCGATCTTGGAGGAAACATTCCCCAACTAGTACTCCGTAAGGGACATACCAAGTACTTCCGAACTGGGCCTTGGAATGGAATTCAGTTCAGCGGGGCTCGGATTGCTCCTAATTTGATATTCATCCCCAAGTTCGTCGACAATTCTCAGGAGGTCTACTACACGTTCAATGCTTTCAATGAATCCACAATCACGAGGTTTGTATTAAACGTTTTTGGGAACCTCCAAAGGTACATGTGGAATGAGAAAACTCAGGAGTGGACCCTGATCTATATGTTTCCGCATGATGCCTGTGATGTCTATGCGAATTGTGGACCCAATAGCATGTGCACGATCAGCAATCCTCAAATTTGTAGCTGCATGATTGGGTATCAACCGAAGTCACAGGCAGAGTGGGATTCGCTTGTGTGGACTAGCGGGTGTGTCAGTAAGAACCCATTTAATTGTTCTAGAGGAGAAGGTTTTAAGAGGCTCAAAGGTGTGAAAATTCCTGATTTGTTGCAGTTCAGGATGAATACTAGCATGACCCTGAAGGAATGTGAATTAAAGTGCTTCCAGAACTGCTCTTGCAGGGCCTACGCAAACGTAGACGCCACCGGAGGTGCAAAAGGCTGTCTCCTATGGTTTGGAGATCTCATTGATGTCAGAAAACTCATCGAATATGCAAATCAAGATCTTTTTATTCGTGTTTCAGCCGCAGACCTGGGTAGTACGCATAACTTTGTTTTATTCTTCTTCCTTCACACACGATAATCCTATTCATCATTCATCTTGATGACCTTTACCCTCTCTCAATGTTCTCAGATTCGGCGAATTCCAAGTGGAAAGTATGGGTGCCAGTGGCAATTTCCTCTGCAATTGTGATGCTTTTAGTGGTGCTTTACATCTGCATTTTTTGGAAGAGGAAAAAAAGTGCTCAAGGTACTCCATTTCCATCGGTTGAGTTGGGCTCTTCCTCTATAGGAATTATGGCTCTGACTAGAACTTGCTTTCAGAACCTCAATTACAATTCTTGGTTCTCTTTTTTCGTATTTTGGCGTCAAGTAATGGTAATACTCCACTTATTACTATCAGTTTTCTTTACATGAGGGTGGACAATCAATAATGAAAGTTGATAGCATACAGTACAGAATCTTGTATGTTCTCATCATGTCAAATGAGCTTTCGATCTATTGATACATGAAAAGTTGATCGACTTAGGCCTCCTTGCTAACACCTATGTCTCAGTCGAGGCATGCAACAACCGTTCGTTGCTTGCATGTAACTTAAGTAATTTATTCTAGGGAAAAAAAGAACAAGTGTTCTGATGAAAGTTCAATGGTCAACAGGTATAAGACTGGACTTTCAAGCTGAAGATGACACTAGCTTACAGCTTCCGATCTTTGATATGGTCACCATCTTACGAGCAACTAACAACTTTTGTGATTCAAATAAGTTAGGAGAAGGAGGTTTTGGCCCCGTATACAAGGTAGAGTTTAGTCTAAAATTTCATACGTCGTACAAAAGAACAGTGCTGTTCATTCATGCAATTTCATTTGTCTTGTCCGTGTCACTCGGGAAAAACTATGCATTTCACTTGTCAGGGTCAGCTGCCAAATGGACAAGAAATAGCAGTCAAGAGATTGTCAGAGGACTCTCGGCAAGGTCTTAACGAATTCAAGAATGAGGTCATGTTAATCGCGAAGCTTCAGCACCGAAATCTTGTCAAGCTTGTGGGGTGTTGCGTTGAAGAAGAGAGGATGCTAATCTATGAATACATGCCTAATGGAAGCCTAGACACTACCATATTTGGTTTGCTTCGATTCTCCGATTTGAATCCGATTCAATTCGCAATTCCATCCAAATTACTGATTAGAAAATGAATTGAATCAGGTAAGACGGGGGAAAATTCTCTAGTATGGAGAAGGCGATTCAACATTATCATAGGAATCGTGAGGGGACTCCTTTATCTTCATCAAGATTCGAGATTGAGAATCATACATAGGGATCTCAAAGCAAGCAATGTGTTGCTCGACAGTGAGATTAATCCTAAAATATCAGATTTTGGGGTGGCTAGAGTCTTTGGTGGAGATCTGTCACAGGCAAAAACAAAGAGGATAGTCGGCACTTAGTAAGTAGTGAGAAGTATTTTCATGGGCTTACATATTCATATTCAAAATCCTATTCTAGTTATGCATATTGTTTTACTTGCAGTGGTTACATGGCACCTGAATACGCAATAGACGGGCTTTTCTCAACAAAATCAGATGTTTTTAGCTTTGGAGTACTATTGCTTGAGATAATATGCGGAAAGAAGAATAGAGAGTTCAATCATCCGGACCACAGCTTCAATCTCGTCGGACATGTGCGACATCGCTCTCGGAAGTCAAATTCTCATAATATAGCAATACTTCGGTTGGATAGGGCCTAAAAATTCTCCCTTTTTTTTTTATCAGGCCTGGAAGTTGTGGCTTGAGGGGCAAGTGAGCGACTTCATAGATCCACAGCTTCCGGATTCTTTCGATCTGTCAGAAGTTGTTAAATGCATTCAAATCGGGCTATTATGCGTGCAACGGTGTCCTGACGATAGACCGAATATGTCATCTGTGCTTCTGATGTTGGACAGTGAGAGCGCTTCGCTGCCACAGCCCAAGCAGCCTGGTTTCTACATTGAGAGGAGCTCTGAAAACACAGACATTGAAATGAGTCGAAGAGAGTGCAACTCAAATGAGATTACCACGACATTATTAGAAGGTAGATAGATTTCCAAGTATGTGTAGTCTCTTGCTTCTGCTGAGTTTTTCCATTGTGAGATAGCAATGCATCACTAACCAAGAGATGTTCGGAGTTCGCTAGATGTACCTAATCATGGAAGATATTGAAATGGTGAAGTTTAACGTTGGTACGGTTCCTCCACTAGCTGAAGCAGGTTGGTGGAGAAAGACATTTTGTAGTCAGAAAAGCAGGAATAGCAGCCACCCCAGCCCAAACTCTGAGCATATACTGTGTTGGCCACATCAATTTCAATACTGTCCGTTGATTATAGCAGTGATAGAAAAAGAATCTTAATAAATGATATTCGATTATGTTCATACCAAATGATGTTACAATCATACAATACAAGTCTCAAAAAAGGATATAACTTCTTGCACTTTCAGCATGATATCCTATCTGTTACATGCTTATACTTATCGATCTGATCACCAGGCTAGGCATTTCCAATGATTAGTGAAGTGTTCCCCATGCTTCGACCGTGAATGAAGCACCAGGTTGAAGCATCAGGTAATAGTTGCCTATTGTTGCTCTGCAACTGTATCAGACTACCACGGACATGTCGAAAAAAATTCAGTTAGAATTGAACTTCGTTATGCTTGTACACATTCGATGGTTGATTCCCTGCACATGTTATCGACATGGGCACGGTCGCCTTTCAGTAGGCCATGCTGCTCTTGCCCGAGGCTGAATACTTAGGCCGTCATCCATGATCAAGATTTTACTAGACATTATAGGAGCATAATCAGTATTCCATACAGTCAAGCACTATCAACTTTATACGATATTGTCGAGAACATCGGGGAGGGGTATTAGGTTGCCAAGGTTTCAGCAAAAATGTGGTTTGTAAAAGACCATGGATCCCCATCCGGTACACATGATTTATCCCGTTCTGTTTTGCAAGCAAACAAAAATAAGCCCTGTTCCAGCTGAGATACCACCACACTATCATTTTTCCACGCTTTTTTCATTGTATTCTGAAACGTTTGGAAATTAATGAAGGGGTTTGTGAACAGTTGCCCAATCAACATTAGACGACATTCAATCTCCTGCTTAGCAGTATCTACATCATCCATCACTATTATATCATCAAATGACCAAAGATTACCTAACTTCTTACAGAGAGAGTCCAGGCATAAATCTGCTTGAATGTCTTCCATTTAATGATTCGTCCCAGGAGTTGAAGGTGTCATCTAGAAGTGCCCTGTAGGAGGCACGTTTTAGAGCAAAAGGTCCAGCGAGTCGGTCACATTGGGATAAATGCAGAACTCGAAACTGACAATGATTGCTGTAGTGATAATGAGGGGTAAAAGGTGTTTACGATGGGAGAATGTTGTGATTTTGAAGTGGGTGTGGCCAGAAAACCAGGTTTCCAGAGGGGAATTTAGAAAATTGAGGATTCAAGTGGGTGCATAAAGGTTAATGAAACAAGAGATTTTTTTGAGGGCACGAAGGATAGGTAGCGGAAACAGCATTAGGGTTTCGTGTAGGGTATGGAATAAATCAGAAGTGATAGAATATTAAATATTAAACTATGCTTTAATATAACAGTTTAAGTTTCTAGAATAGTTGACAGTGGTCTCACAAATTCTCACATGGTACAAAGCAAAAAAACCAGACTAAGCGTGAGGGAGAATCGTAGAATATTTAAATATTAAACCAAGCTTTATCACAAGCAAAATAGCGTGGGATTAGCATTTGGTTTGAGAAATAAAGGAGACATTGCTACACCTGAGTGATAGAGAGAGCTCTTCTTGCGGGCACGCGAGAGAGAGAGAGTAACTTATTAAAAACTGGGAAATATAATCAATTATTATGGACATTATCTATATATTTTTTTTTGGTCGAAGGACATTATCTATATAAGCATTTTTGGTGTTCGTGCGCGTTAAAATTGATAATCATTCTCATGCAAACAATGCACGGGTTTCCCGCATGAGAGTAAGCAATCAAGCATGTAGAAACATCCAATTGAGCTAGGCCAAAGGGTAGCCAAGTCAAGAGCTAGACTCCAATCAAAGGCCTCGAAGTTTACAAGAGGGCATGCTAGATTTTCGAAGGATACGACCAAAATCGGATTCTTCAATGCAGACATCCTCACCACCGCGCTTTGAAACTATCTTTTTGAAGTGCCCCTCCAGCTGTGGAAACTCTCGTCCGAATAACGAATACTGCCGCCAAATTTATACTCAAGTCTGTTTCTTGCAACCGTCTTTCTAGAGAAAATACCCTCCTCTTTAGTCGCCAAACATGTTTGAAAAAACACAAATTTAACGAAACTCCAAGCCACACTATTGCTTATAATTCGCTATCTGGGTTCTGTTTCTTCAAATGGAGATTCTTCACTCTCCTCTTCGCTTCTTCACCTTCATCACCTTGCTTTCAACAGCAGCAGAGCTCAGCAGATCTGCTGACACGGTAACTCTGTCTCAGCCGGTGAGAGATAATGAGACTCTTATTTCAGCGGGAGCAAAGTTCGAGCTCGGATTCTTCAGCCGTGGAAATTTGACTAACCGGTATGTCGGGATATGGTTCTACAACATCCCGGTGAAGACCATTGTCTGGGTCGCGAATAGAGACAATCCAATCAACGGCTCGTCAGGAGTCCTGCAGATTGGGACAGGAGGGAATCTAGTCATTGTTGACGGAACAGGAAGAGCCGTTTGGTCCACGAACACAGCGAACGTGACTTCCAATAATGTGGCTGCACAGCTCCTTGACTCTGGGAATCTGGTCCTGACAGATAAAAGCAACAATGGTTCGGGGAATTTCCTGTGGCAGAGTTTTGACCATCCTTTCGATACGTTACTTGCAGGGATGAAGCTAGGATGGGACCTGAGGTTCGGTTTGAATTGGTACCTCACTTCTTGGAGGGATTCGGACGATCCTTCAACAGGAGACATCACATACGCATTCGAACTCCAGGGACTGCCCCAGAAGTTCCTCCGCAGGAATTCTTCGGTAATTGAACGAAGTGGGCCATGGGATGGTATCCAGTTCAGCGGATTGCCCCTGAACCAGAATGCAATCATCATTCCCAAGTTCGTGACGACCGCTCAAGAAGTGTACTATACTTATCAACTCAACAATGATTCCACCATCACGAGGGCCGTGCTCAGCCACTCTGGCACGCTTCAACGCTGTGTCTGGAACAATGACACGCAGTGGAAAGTCATATATGAGCTGCCAAACGATTCTTGCGACGAGTATGCAAAATGCGGGCCTAACGCTGTGTGCACAATTGGTGAGGCCCAGATATGCAGGTGCCTGACTGGGTACATCCCAAAATCGCCCCAGGAATGGGCGATGCTCGTTTGGTCCAGCGGGTGTGTTAGGAAGAAGCCCTTGAATTGTCCTAAAGGAGAAGGGTTCGAGAAGCTGAAGGGTGTGAAGGTTCCTCATATGTTGAGTTACTGGGTGAACATGAACATGAGCCTCGACGAATGTAGAGCCAAATGCCTGAAAAATTGTACTTGCACCGCATATGCTAATACGGACATTGTCGGGAAGGGAAGTGGGTGTCTGCTTTGGTATGGAGATCTTCTCGACATCAGAAAGCTCATCCAATCAAGCAGCAATCAGAATGTTTTCATCAGGGTCATGGCGTCCGACCTAGGTATATATTCGAAATTCAGTGAAGTTAGATTTTTGTCCCCACATTGTCTACCAATCTGTTCCTGAAATTTTTCTTACATTGTGGGTCATAGGCAATCATAAGTGGAAATTGCGGTTGGTGCTGGCAGTAGTCGCCGCATCACTCACTCTAGCAATTCATTTGCTACTCTGTGTCTGGAGGAGGAGAACGAAAAAACATCTAGGTAAAATGTCTTTCTTACTCAGCAAATATTGACCTTGGTTAATAATCGCTGGTGCAACCGTTTCAGTTTCCTCGAGGCATTTTCAACCATTGTAAATGTTATTATGCATCTTTCATGCCTCAACTTTGTAAGAATGCTAGAATCAGAGCTTCATTAGTATTGTTGCAGCAATGAATGGGAGGTCTATATAGATGAGGACTCAAACTAGCCAAAGGATCAACTTAAAGTTCGTTGCCATTCAAACTTCAAGATCTTTTCCAGAAAAAAACAGAGTGATCGAAAAATTTCGAGCTCATATACTGCAAAACTCTCTCCCTCACACAAGCCTTTGACTATTTTTGGCAGGGAAAATATCGGAGGAGCAAGCTGGGAGGGAAGACAACTTAGAGCTGCCTATACTAGACTTGGAAGACATTACTAAGGCGACTCAAAGATTTTCGTCTCTCAATAAAATCGGCGAGGGTGGTTTTGGTCCCGTCTATAAGGTAAGGACCTTTTCAGTATTACTATCTATGAATATGGATATTGGTTCTATGGATATTGGCTGGATCTATAAGAGTTTACCTATCCCAATAACAAGAAAGGGAGAAGGGATGCCTCCTCGAAAAGGGCGTCAGTGTAGCAGAATAGGGTTGCGCATGACAACGATTCTGTGCCCGGGAACAGATTCTGCTAAAAAATTATTCTTTTTAATTCTGTGCCCGGAATTGATTCTGAGCATTTTAAGGCGTTTGTTAATGGCCCAAAATTCCATCCCTGGAATAGAAAAAGAACAGAAATGCGTTTGGTAACGCCACAAAATTTCTTTTTATTAATAATATTTTTAAATATTTTAATATTTCTTTCTTTTTTTCTTTTCCTCCTTCTTGGCCATACTTGCTCGCCGGCCATGACCAGTAAAATATTTTTTTATTAATAATATTTTTATTAAAAGTATTTTTTATTTTTTTTGGCCATGGCCTGGTCGCCGGCAATGACCGGTAAAATATTTTTTTGAATAATAATATTTTTTATTAAAATATTTTTATTAAAAATATATATTTTTATTTTTTTGGCCATGGCTGGTAAAATATTTTTTTTTATTAAAATATTTTTATTAAAAATATATTTTTTTTTTTTTTTGGGCCATGGCGATCGGACCATGGCCCGTAAAATATTTTTTTATTAATAATTTTTTTATTAAAATATTTTTATTAAAAATATACACATTTTTATTTTTTGGCCATGGCCAGTCTGTGCCTATCTGGTAAAATATTTTTTTATTAATAATATTTTTATTAAAATTTTTTATTAAAAATATATATATATTTTTTTTTTTTGCCATGGCCTGGTCACCGGCCATGGCAGGTAAAATATTTTTTTATTAATAATATTTTTTATTAAAATATTTTTATTAAAAATATATATTTTTCTTTTTTATGGCCATGGCCTGGTCGCCGGCCATGGCCGGTAAAATATTTTTTATTAATAATATTTTTTATTAAAATATTTTATTCTCGTCAGATCCGGCGAGGGCGGTCCTCGGGCCGGACATTAGAAGCTAAATTAAAAACCAAGAAAAGGAGGAAGAAAAAAAAATTGATTCTCAAAATTGTTCCGAATCAAGAAGCTACTTTTTTATTCTTGATTCTCGCTCAAACGATTAGGGAACAATTTTTGACAAAATTGTGCCCAGAATCAAAAAATTAATCAAACGCATTTCTGTTCCCAAACTGATTCTGGGAACAAAAGAACAGAATCAAACACTGTTTGGCAAGTTGTCATGCGCAGTCTAGAAGTTAAAGAGGGTATTTATGCTCGTCAACTCTCATATGAGCGCCGGGGGTTCATTCATCTGACCGTCCTTTATTTTAGAGCAGTTAAAAAATACTATGTTGGTCCCCATATAAAGAAAAGAAGACTTGGATATGTACTTATCGAATAAGACATGTATATGTGACTTCAGCTTCATCATTTTGAATGGTTCTCTTCAATGATTAGCGTAAATGTCGCAGGGTCTAATGTCCGATGGAGTTCAAATAGCTGTCAAGAGGCTGTCGCAGAACTCGAGACAGGGTTGCAATGAGTTCAAGAATGAAGTCTCGTTGATTGCAAGACTTCAACACCGAAATCTTGTCAAGCTATTGGGATGCTGTATTGACGGAGAGGAAAGGATGTTAGTATATGAATATATGCCGAATGGAAGCCTCGACTCCTTAATATTTGGTCTGTTCCTAGCACCTCAACTTAGTCTCATAATGTTGTTGATTACTTAAAAATTTTCTTTTCAGATATGATTAATCCTATTTTGAGTTAGTTTGTAGTTTTTATTGTGATTTCCTATGTTTATTTGGGCCCCCCAAAAAAACTTGTAGGTACTGGAGCAGGTAATTCTCTTGTATGGAGGCGGCGGTTCGATATCATTGTGGGAATTGCAAGGGGACTTCTATATTTACATCGCGACTCGAGATTGAGAATAATTCATCGGGATCTAAAAGCTAGTAATGTATTGTTGGATAGTGAGATGAACCCAAAGATATCAGATTTTGGCATGGCTAGGGCTTTCGGAGGAGATCAATTCCTGGGAAAGACGAAACGTGTAGTCGGGACTTAGTAAGTGCCTTTCGAAGTTCTCAGCAAACTAAATATTTCCCATATTCTGATGCATTATTTAGTGGCTATTTTTTTTAATTTACTACATATTTTGCCTCGAAATGTAATGCAGTGGATACATGTCTCCAGAGTATGCAATAGACGGAATTTTCTCTACTAAATCAGATGTGTTTAGCTTCGGAGTCCTCATCCTGGAAATAATTAGTAGCAGGAGGAACAGAGAATTTCATCATCATGATCACAATTTTAACCTTCTTGGACATGTAAGCTTCTACTCCAAGTTTCTACTTCAAGTTCTGATAGTACTCGTATAAAATTGCCTAAAACTCTGCAACTTTCAGGCCTGGAAATTATGGCTTCAAGGGGAGGCCAACGAACTCATAGACAAACAAATGGAGGATTCATTTCCAATCTCGGAAGTTATCAGGTGCATCCAGATAGGCCTCTTGTGCGTTCAGCAAAGTCCAGAACAAAGGCCGACCATGTCATCTGTGCTTCTGATGTTGGACAGTGAGAGCGCCTCATTGCCGCAGCCCAAGCAACCGGGATTTTACACAGAGAGGTTTAAAGATCAAATAGACAGCGAAATGAACGAGTTAACTATGACCACAGTAGAGGGTCGGTGAAGATCCCCGAGATTTTATGCACACATGGTTAACAACACATAGTCAAGGTATTAGCTGTTACATTGTAGATGGATACTCTAGTACATGGTATTGTCTGCATAAAAATATGAAAAGAATCTCTGCCGTCTTTGACAAAGTACTTGCTCTTGGGAATGCACCTGGTATATACTTCTCTTTCCCTATAAGTATGTAACTCCATTAAAGAACACATTTAATTGTTCTAAAGGAGAAGGGATTAAGAGGCTCAAAGGTATGAAAATTCACGATTTGTTGCAGTTCACGATGAACACTAGCATGAGCCTGAAGGAATGTGAATGAGAGTGCTTTAAGAACTGCTCTTGCAGGGCCAACGTGAACATAGATGCCACGCGAGGTGGAAAAGGCTGTCTCCTATGGTTTGGATATCTTGTTGATGTCAGAGAACTCATCAGATACGCAAATCAAGATCTTTTTATTCGTGTTTCAGCCACAGACCTGGGTAGTACGTATAGCTTTGTTTTGTTCCTCTTCCTCGACACACGTTAATCCTATACATCATTCATCTTGATGACCTTTCGCCTCTCTCAATGTTCTCAGATTCGGTGAATTCCAAGTGGAAAGAATGGTGGCAGTAGCAATTTCCGCTGCATTTGTCATGCTTTTGGTGGTGCTTTACTTCTGCATTTTTTGGAAGAGGAAAAAAAGTGCTCAAGGTACGTTTTTTCCATCAGTTGAGTTGAGCTCTTGCTCTGTAGGAATTATGGCTCTGACTAGAACTTGCTTTCAGAACCTCAGTTACAACTTTTGGTTCTCCTTTTTCCTATTTTCGCATCAAGTAATAGCATAACTCCATTTATTACTATCAGTTTTCTTTACAAGAGGGTTGGCAATCAATAATGAAAGTCGATAGCATACAGTAAAGAAACTTATATGTTCTCATCATGTCAAACGAATTTTAGATCCATTGACACATGGAAAGTTCATCGACTTAGGCCTCATTGCTAACACCTATGTCTCAGTTGATACATCGCCCATGTTGGGAGTAGTTAAATGCATTCAAATCGGGCTATTACATGTGCAATGGCATCGTGACGATAGACCAAATATGTCGTCTGTGCTTCTGATGTTGGACAGTGAGAGCGCTTTGCCACCACAGCCCAAGCAGCCCGGTTTCTACATTGAGAGGAGCTCTGAAAACACAGACGTTGAAATGAGTCGAAGAGACTGTAACTCGAATAACATTTACCACGACATTATTAGAAGGTAGATAGATTTCCAAGTATGTGTCGTCTATTGCTTCTGCTGAGTTTTTCCATTGTGAGATAGCAATGCATCACTAATTCGAGAGATGTTCAAAGCTCGCTAGATGTACCTAATCATGGAAGAAATCGAAAAGGCGAAGTTTGATGTTGGTCCGGTTCCTCCTCCCACTAAAGCGGATTGGTGGAAAAAGACAATTTGTAGCCAGAAAAGTGGGAATTAGCAGCCGCGCCAGCCCAAACTCTGAGCATATACTGTGTTGGCCACATCAATTTCAATACTGTCCGTTGATTATAGCAGTGATAGGAAAACAATCTTAATAAATGAATTCGATTACGTTCATACCAAATGATATTACAATCATACAATACAAGTCTCGAAAAAGGATATAACTTCTTGCACTTTCAGCATGATATCCTATCTGTTGCATGCTTATACGTATCGATCTGATCACCAGGCCAGGCATTTCCAATGATTAGTGAAGTTCCCCATGCTTCAACCGTGAATGAAGCACCAAGTTGAAGCATCTGGTTATAGTTGCTTGTTGTCGCTCTGCAACCATATCAGAATACCATGGACATGTTGAAAAAATTCTGTTAGAATCGAAGTTCATTATGCTGTTACGCATTCGATGGTTGATTCCCTGCACATGTTATCGACATGGGCACGGTCGCTTTTCAGTAGGCCAAGCTGCTCTTGCCCGAGGCTGAATACTTAGACCGTCATCCATGATCAAGATTTTACTAGACATTATAGGAGCATAATCGGCCTTTCGTACAGTCAAGCACTATCAACTTTATACGATATTGTCGAGAACAACGTCATCCTCAGTGTACATCGGACCATGCGTGTATCACGTTCGTTTCGCTGTGGACATGTGTGTCGTGCTCCTCCTGTTATTCAGCATGAATTTGCATGTGCTCTTCTGCTAGTTATAATGGACAGAGTCACAGACTAAAGAGAATTAGCTTGGAGAGGGGAGAAATACTGCCATTCTCATCACCAGTTTCAGGGTGGTGTGTTCTTCTTATACTATAAAAGTGTCAAAAAATTCCTAAATCTATTGCATTTGTGACAACCCGGTCCGATGAGGGCGGGGAGTGGTCACCAAGGTCTAAGGACCTGGACAAGGAGCGGCTCCTGACAGGCTTCTAGGATGGCGAAGGGGGCACGTCTCCTGTCCCACATCGCCTAGGGAGGGAGCCTTGGGTTGACTTATAAAAGCTTGAGGAGCCTTAACTTGCAAGAGGCGTTTTCTGGGGTAGTATGGGCTGCCCTCAGAGGAACAAAACCGTGAGGACTTAGTGTCCAAAGCGGACAATATCTTACGAGTGGGACCTAGGTCGTTACAGTATTTGTGCCAATTTGATCCTAAACCTTTTGACATAGTGCCAATTTAGTCCTTCCAGGTAATTCTGGCTGGATATTGCTTACATGAACGTTGATGGGCCTGCGTGACACCGTCAGCGTTGACATGGATAATTTATAACAATATTTTAATATTTTTTCTATTTTTATTATTTTCTGATTTTTTTCTGTTTTTCTTTCTTCCTTCTTTTTGCTGGTGACCGGCCACTGGCCATGGCTAGGCGGGCTGGCTTCGCCTGGGCAAGGGTCGCCGTTGACCGTCCAGTCGAGGGTGAGCCCCGGCTAGGAGAGGGCTGGCCTCACCAGATTTGGCAAGGGGAGCCCTCGCTGGAGCTTGCCCTCACCCAGGAGAGGCCTAGCGAGGATCACCCTCGCCCAAGCCAAATATGGCGAGGCCAACCTTTGGCAGCCTCGTTCTGAATTGGCACTTTATCAAAAAGTTTAGGATTAAGATGGCACCTAAAAAATATTTAGGACTAAATTGGCACTAATATAATAAATTTGGGACTTTTCTGACACTTTTTCCTGTGGTAATGAGGAGAGTGACATAACACGATAAACAATTACTGAAGTCGCCATGATCTTCAAGACTGACCCAATGTATTTGTGCTTGTCCTGAAGGTGACTACAATAAACACTTCAAGATGGCCAGGTCGCCGGTCGATTCTCTCTCTCATGAGGTCTTATCGAGCAATGGCGAGTCAAGCACGACGCCCGCAATTGTCCGGGATTGGACCACGGACTAAGCAGCAACGGGTCAATTCACGTGAATCAGATCGAGACATGCCCAAGACATACTTGCCTTCTCACATCTTTTGTCACTTAGCACCCTCTACTTTCATAACTACAATCATGCACCACCAATTTCAAGGGAGAGTATAACAATTAAATTTTCGTATTCTTAATCGATGTTCAATTTGGTTCTTCATCTTTAGTTTCTTTAATTTACTCCTTATACTCTTTCAAATGAACCCGATTTGACGCATCTAATCAATTAAGTGTCTTTCTCTCTCTCTCAATTTGGTCATTTTGGTTCCGTTCAAAGAGTATAAGGATCGCATTTAATATTGGCCAGGCGCGCGTGGACTATTTTCGACATTGCCCTCTCTTTCTAATTATAGAACCCCTATCCCTTTTTCTCCGTCACAGCCACTAATATACCACTAGCTTAGTCACCGCCGAACCCATCGACACCATTGCCAACACCTACCGTCGAGGTCTCCTAGCCACCGCCGCTCCGGCCACCATCGTCACGACGGAACCCACCATAGCACCTCCTCTCTCTCTCACACATAAAAAAAATGCCAAAAAGCAAACGTTCAGCGAAACAGGAACATCAACAATGCCCTAGTTTCGTGGATTCCGGAGTAGTTGGACCGACCGCAATTGTCAAAATCGAAAATTGACTCTTTCCCAGTGTACGCCGGCATTGACGGAAAAACACAAATCCATGTCTAAACCTTAATCTTCCCCCAAACTTCCCTTCTCGTGTGGGGATCCTCAAATGGAAATTGCACAAATTAGAACGGCCAGTGTCCCAAACCACACACTCCCCAGGATCAGAGTCAATAGACCGGACATCGTCAACCGATAAAATCATATGGTATCTGCATGGATAGATTGTGTTATTAATCAATGGCGATCGGCTCAGTTCGCCATATCTAAGTTAGTATTTCGCACTACCACATTTCTTTGATATTGTGCGATATCCTCTCCCAAGCTCCCCTCGATTATGCTCTCATCTTAATTTTTAAGCACACAATGCTCGAACTAATAAATTTCATTAGAAGTCCCATAACTTTATGTACGGGTTTGATTGATCAGTTGAATCATTTGATTATGCAATCAAGTACTTGAGCAATTTCAGGAAATTATGATGAAGTCCCTCTTGTCATCATCACTTCTCTTATGCCGGCCAAGTTGAGCTATACCGGGTAAAGGACTTTGTTGCACTACTTTGAAGACAAATTACAAAACCAATGGGCCAGTGCATATAAATACGGCCGACCCCATTGTTTGATATCTAATCTATTGGAATTGACCTTTACTTATTTTGGGAAAAGTCCTGCTCAGAGAGATTAATTCTTATCGCCAAAAATGAGCATTCTTGAGCCTGAAACATGTTAGAGGGAAACAACATAAGAACCTCAAAACATTCACTAGAAAGATCTGATTCCGCAACTCGAGTCCAAATACCCCCGAGGAAATGTGCCAATCTCGCTTGATTGTGGAGGGGGGAGGGGTGACCCAACGGTCTCGTGAGAAGGGTTGTCCACCGTACCTGGAATAAGTTACCCCACGAGGCAATGTCCCAACCTCGTTTGAGTGTGCAGGGGATTACCTCACGGTCCCATAAGGTGATTTATCTGCCGCAACCGGCATAAGTAAGAACGGCACCTGCAAGACGATGTCCCAAACTTCCTTTGAGAGTGGGGGAGGGTCTTACCTCACAGTCTTGTAAGGTGATTCGTCACCAGCACAAGTAAGAACGCTGCGAATCCCCTTGTGATTGTAGCAAAAATTGGCTCATAAATCACTCAAAAAGTGATGTAGCATAATTTGCCTAGAGTTATATCATTCTCTTTTCTTAATTACGACTATTCATTGGACACATTACTTTCCAAATCAATTATATAAATATCTCGCATCAACTTTTAGTATTCTTTCCCCCAAATGTTGGGTCGCGGCTTGCGTCTTGTACACCCGCATGTCTCTGGAGGTCAAGTTCGGTTTAATTCAATATTGATCTGCCACTTTCTACACATTTAATTAATCGTACATATCTTCTAGCAAAAAACATACATCTATACAATACTTACGTCCATTTCATGCAACCATTTTCCCCATGTTGGCCTCCAACTTGACTATGAGATGTCCGCCATGTGTAAACCTATTATAGGGCCAATTTTTTCAGCAATTATAATCAGGGTGGGTTAATTCGAAGCCTAACTTCAACATGTAGGATAAAGATTGTTAAAATGCGACAAACGTGTCGCACTGTCGTTAGCTTGCACTAAACGTTTTGGATTCTACTAATTTCTACCATAGAAACGATTTTTTTATTAGAAGGTGGAAACATTAAAAATTGGAGCATATTCTAAACGGGTGTTGGGTCAAAACCCCAGTTTGACTTTACCATCTGCATTGAACGAGTAATAATGATGCTTGGTGCTTCTGTTGCTTTGGCATATGGTCTACGTTTCACATGGTTGCCGACTCAATTGACTTCAATTGCTGGGTGCTTCTAGAGTCCCGTGGGGACAAAAATGGGGACCGGTCCGAATTTTAGCCCCACTTTTCTTTTTAATTTATCTGAATTTATCTGAAATCATGTGAAGGTTGGTCAAACTAATATGTAGCTGTTTCACTTTGTAGATCATTATTTACGCATTTCTGTATGTGGCTAGTAATTTATCGTTTTGGACGGTAGTTTGACAATAGAGTCTTTAACGTGTAAAAGGCTAACCACTCAGTGATTGACCTGTAACATGATAATATGCCTCGGATTTCCGTAAGTGATGATACAGGTTTTTTTGGGTAATCGTAATTTTTTCGGTAAGCCATCGTAATTCACAAGTTAATGCCTCGAAATCTCGTAAGATTGAATATCCTATCATAGGTGGCTTCCTACGAAAAATCTTGAACTATATAAATATATCGTGAATTTGCTTTTCCAATCTCAGTAACTTATCTCAATGATTGGAACATCTTTTCCAGTTTGTAAGCTTAAGGGCCCTCTTCGTTAGTAAATATTCTCATGTGTCGTAAATTTTTTTAATCAATAATGATATCGACAACCTTACCGCCAGTAATTTTTCTTCGAATGTTTGTAAGTAATTATAGTAAATAATCGGAGGGTCATTTTGCTACATGGGACCTAAGAATCTCCTATGGTGATTGGACGGATTTTCAATTGGAAAGGCCTCTCATTGAAGCTCCATGAGGGTGCCCCATGGACCAGAGGGGTAGTAGTATCTTGGAATTGTGGAAGCTGATGGGTGACATTAAAGAGGTCGATTTGTCAAAGTCAATGACCGAGAAGAAAGAAGGATGCAAGAAAGGTCAAATATCCTATCGAAAGGAGTCCCTTATTTTATTTTTCTTAATCTTTACAACGAGGACATTCTATAAACTACTTTACTAACCCCGTGAATCACATTAGGTATGAATGGAAACCACACAGGTCAGTCGTTCTTTACCGCCTTAGCCAATAACGAACCTAATCAATATATGTGCTATGTCTCCGGGACCTATTGAACAAGTTTTTCAACTTCTTAAATTGACAATGCGAACCCAACTTCAAATGTGTCATATTTGAATGGACGACAGGAATTATCCAAACACAATGAATGAAACGAATAGATTTATTGTGGACGAGTCGACAGGACGAGAAAGTTCTATGAACTATTCGACTAACCTCATGAATCAGATCAGATGCGAATCAAAACCAATTCGAGTAATCCAAACACGAGATTGCGATAGGCCTAAACCACATGGATTGGTCCGCTCTTTACCGACTAAGCCAATGACGAACCTAATCAAGAACTGTACTCTCTCTCTCTGGGATTTATCCAACAAATTTTTCACTTGGTCTTCGACCAAATAGGCGTCGTAAATTTTACGTACGACTTTGGTGAAACCAATTGAATATTTCTTTCTGCCACCATCAAGCTTGTCTGAATAACGAATACTGCCACAGAGTTTACACTTACGTCTGTTTCTTGCAACCATCCTTCTAGAGAAAATATCCTCCTCTGTAGCCGCCAACCATGTTTGAAAACACACGAATCCGACAAAACTCCAAGCCTGAACCACACTATTACATAAAATTCGCTATCTGGGTTCTGTTTCTTCAATGGAGATTCTTCACTCTCCTCTTCACTTCTTCATCTTCATCACCTTGCTTTCAACAGCAGCAGAGCACAGCAGGTCTGCTGACACAATAACTCTGTCTCGGCCGGTGAGAGATAACGAGACTCTAGTTTCGGCAGGAGCGAAGTTCGAGCTCGGATTCTTCAGCCCTGGAAATTCGCCTAACCGGTATGTCGGGATATGGTTCTACAACATCCCGGTGGAGACCATTGTCTGGGTCGCAAATAGAGACGATCCGATCAACGGCTCGTCAGGAGTCCTGCAAATTGGGAAAGGAGGGAATCTAGTCATCGTCGACGGAGCAGGAAGAGCAGTTTGGTCCACAAACACAACGGATGTGACTTCCGGTAACGTGGCTGCGCGGCTCCTTGACACCGGTAATCTGATCCTGACAGATGAAAACAACAATGATTTGGGGAATTTCCTGTGGCAGAGTTTCGATCATCCTTTCGATACGTTACTCGCGGGGATGAAGCTAGGATGGGACCTGAGGATTGGTTTGAATCGGTACCTCACTTCCTGGAGGAATTCGGAGGATCCTTCAACGGGAGACATCACATACACAGTCGAACTCCAGGGACTGCCCCAGAAGTTCCTCCGCAGGAATGCTTCGGTAATTGAACGAAGCGGGCCATGGGATGGTATCCAGTTCAGCGGATTGCCCCTGAACCCGAATGCAATCATCAATCCCCAGTTTGTGATGACCGCTCAAGAAGTGTACTATACCTATCAACTCAACAAAGATTCCACCATCACAAGGGCCGTCCTCAGCCACTCTGGCACTCTTCAACGCTGTGTCTGGAACAACAACACGCAGTGGACAGTTATACATGAGCTGCCGAACGATTCCTGCGACGAGTATGCAAAATGCGGGCCTAACGCTGTGTGCACGATTGGTAAGGCCCAGATATGCAGGTGCCTGACGGGGTACACCCCGAAATTGCCCCAGGAATGGGCGATGCTCGTCTGGTCCAGTGGGTGCATTAAGAAGAAGCCCTTGAATTGTCCTAAAGGAGAAGGGTTCGAGAAGCTTAAGGGAGTGAAGGTTCCTCATATGTTGAGTTACTGGGTGAACACGAGCATGAACCACGACGAATGTAGAGCCAAGTGCCTGAAAAATTGTACTTGCACCGCATATACCAATACGGACATTGTCGGGAAGGGAAGCGGCTGTCTGCTTTGGTATGGAGATCTTCTCGACATCAGAAAGCTCATCCAATCAAGCAGCAATCAGAATGTTTTCATCAGGGTCATGGCATCAGACCTAGGTATATATTCGAAATTCAGTGAAGTTAGATTTTGTCACCATCTTGTCTCCCAAGCTGTTCCTGAAATTTGTCTTCCATTGCGGGTCGTAGGCAATCATAAGTGGAAATTGCGGTTGGTGGTGGCAATAGTCGCCGCATCACTCTCTCTGGCAATTCTTTTGCTACTTTGTTTCTGGAGGAGGAGACCGAAAAAACGTCTAGGTAAAATGTCTTTCTTCCTCAGCAAATATTCACCTTCGTTAATAATCTCTAGTGCAACCGTTTCAGTTTCCTCATGGCACTTTCAAACATTGTATAAGCTATTAGGCATCTTTCATGCTCAACTTTGTAAGAATGCTAGAATCAGGGCTTCATCGGTATTGTTGCAGCAATAAATGGGAGGTTTATATAGATGAGCATTTCAACTAGCCAATGGATCAACTTAAGTTCATTGCTATCAAACTTCACGAAGTTCTTTTCCTAAAAAAGCAAAGTGGATCGAATAATTTCGAGCTCATACACTGCAAAAGTCTCTCCCTCATACAAGTCTTCTACTATTTTTGGCAGGGAAAATATCAGAGGTGCAAGCTGGGAGTGAAGACAACTTAGAGCTGCCTATGCTAGACTTGGAGGACATTACCAAAGCCACTAATAGCTTTTCGTATCTGAATAAAATCGGAGAGGGCGGTTTTGGTCCCGTCTATAAGGTAAGGACCTTTTCATTAATAGTCATACATATAAAGAAAAGAAGATGCGGGTATGTACTTATCAAATAAGAAATGGATATGTGATTTCAGCTTCGTCGTTTTGAGTATTTGTCTTGAATAACGAGCATAAATATCACAGGGTCTAATGTTCGATGGAGTTCAAATAGCTGTGAAGAGGCTGTCGCAGAACTCAAGACAGGGTTTTGATGAGTTCAAGAATGAGCTCTTGTTGATTGCGAGACTTCAACACCGAAATCTTGTCAAGCTATTGGGATGCTGTATTGACGGAGAGGAAAGGATGTTAGTATATGAATATATGCCGAATGGAAGCCTCGACTCCTTGATATTTGGTCTGTTCCTAAGCACCTCAACTTAGTCTCTAAATGTAGTTGATTACTTCGAACTTTTCTTTTCAGATAGGATTGATCCTATTTCAAGTTAGTTTGCACTTTTCATTGTGAATTCCTATGGTTGATTTGGGCCCCCCAAAAAAACTTGTAGGTAATAGAGCGGGTAATTCTCTCGTGTGGAGGCGGCGGTTCGATATCATTGTGGGTGTTGCAAGGGGACTTCTATATTTACATCGTGACTCCAGATTGAGAATAATTCATCGGGACCTAAAAGCTAGTAATGTGTTGCTGGATAGTGAGATGAACCCAAAGATATCAGATTTTGGCATGGCTAAGGCTTTCAGAGGAGATCAATTCCTGGAAAAGACAAAACGCGTAGTTGGGACTTAGTAAGTGCCTTTCGAAGTTCTCAGCGTACTAAATGTTTCCCATGTTCCGATGCATGATTTAGTGGCAATTTTTTTTAATTGACTATGTATTTCTGCCTCGAAATGTAATGCAGCGGATACATGTCTCCAGAGTATGCAATAGATGGAATTTTCTCGACTAAATCAGATGTTTTTAGCTTTGGAGTCCTGGTCCTGGAAATAATTAGCGGCAGGAGGAACAGAGAATTTCATCATCAAGACCACAATTTTAACCTTCTTGGACATGTAAGCTTCTACTACAAATTTCTACTTCGAGTTCTGATACCACTGGAATAAAATTGCCTGAACTCTGCAACTTTCAGGCTTGGAAATTATGGCTTCAAGGGAAGGCCATCGAACTCATAGACAAACAAATGGAGGATTCATTTCCAATCTCGGAAGTTATCAGGTGCATCCAGATAGGCCTCTTGTGCGTTCAGCAAAGTCCGGAACAAAGGCCGACTATGTCATCTGTGCTTCTGATGTTGGACAGCGAGAGCGCCTCGTTGCCGCAGCCCAACCAACCGGGATTTTACACGGAGAGGTTTCAGGATCAAATGGACAGCGAAACAAATGAGTTAACTATTACCATAGTCCAGGGTCGGTGAAGATCCACCAGACTTTTATGCACAGAAAGTTAACAACACGCAGTCAAGGTATTAGCTATTAAATTGTAGATGGAAACTCTAGTTCACGGTATTGTCTGCATAAAAGTATGAAAACAATATCTGCCTTCTTTGACCATGTACTTTGCTCTTGAGAGTGCACCTGGTGCATGTTTCTCTTTCCCTATATGTATGTAACTCCACTCATATTGACAAATAAAAAAAGTCTCTTTCGGTGGAAAAGCAAAGATTGGACCTTTTTGAATTGATGAATTGGATATATGGAAACAGTTATCTGCTTGGTTGTTACGAATCCTAACCCAAAAGCATAAGTTCGATAGATTAGGTATATGAGTTTCCATGTGGCCCATCGAAACTTCACAGTACTTTGTCAGTGTGAATTCTCTTACTTTCCAAGATGCCTTCGAAAAGAGCAATATTAGGACTGAAGTTTTCCATTCCCCCTGTAGTCTGAAATCATGGGTAATTACCCTTTTTCTCTTTCATAATGTGGAAAGCAAGTGCAAGCGCACACAAATTATCATTGTTTGATGTTCTCATGAGAAGATAATTCTTGTTTGATCTTGCTGTCTCTTCATGCTTTGAGTTTTAATCTAATCAGCAAGGTCAAAAAGGACATAAGGCGTCTAGCTCTGTCAGTGCATGACATTCGTTAGTTAGTCGGAAAATGGAAAATTTCTCTGCCGTTGCATTTATCGAATGTTCGTTAACTGAAGGAAACACTTCCGCTGACCTCATTCCCAACAACAAAACTTGTTCCAAAATCTTGCTTGTTCAGGACAACGAATAGATGAAAAAGGAAAGAGTTAAGGTGCAAAGAGTCGTCAGATTCAACAGACGACAAAACCACAAAGCATAGGAAATGATGCTTGCTAGAGAATACAGAAATTTTGAGAAAATTGAAATGGTATAGATTCGAAGTCGATAGATCGGTGCTATCCAAATCATCCGACATTGTCTTGTTTGATTGTACCATTCACCAGGGGCGGGTCAATCTGGCCGTCTAAAGTTTAAAGTCCGGGTTTGTGCAGCTGTCGACGTGGGTGGTAAAAGGTGGCAAGTGGGTCAATTTTATTACCAAGCCAAAGGAACAATGCGACTACTTTGCACATTGAAGTGCCATCGGAAAATCGTGATCCTTACGTTGTCCGGCAATTTAAAGGTAGCTGACGTAAAACTACCGGGTACTTGGACCGCGTATGTCGGCATCAATATGACTTCGAGAGAGTGCAAACACTGAGTGCTTGTGGAATTGGTCATGCACAGCCCACGCCAACGCAGATCTGATAAAGAGGAGGAAATGGTGCTTGAAGTGTGGTATGAAGACTTGATCGAAAGCCATAAATGACACATTAGCTTTCCTAATTTGATTCGGTTCCGGTCACCATCGTCTCTTCAAACGGAAAATAGACAGCTTTCAGATGTCCTATTTTCACTCATGGAGAATTAATTCTATAGACGGTAGGTCAATCAGTTACTTGAATTTATCGGAAATTCAAGCAAAGAAGGATTCTGAGGGATGCATTTTAACTGCAAATGTAATGCCACAATTCTATAAATACAAGGGAAATGAGACAACCGTTCGCCTATCCAAAGACAGCCTCAAACACGTAACAACATTAACCTATTATCAAAATATGTATATCCATCTATATATTTAATAAAACAAGAAGTTGGTTACAAGATCAGTGTTCTAAATTCCAACAAAAGGAATATATACATCTCATGACTAACAAACTAAACTTAAATACTATTTCAAACATATACGCAACTAGCTTAACTTATATACCAAAATCCAACTCCCAGAAAATTCCTTGTTAATTACCGCTCTCGTCCTATTCGCCGATAGCTGTAGAACCTGAAAAAGATTTGAGATGAATTTTATGAGCAAACCACCACTCGGTAAGTAGTATAAATTTATTCTAGGGTTAATACCACGAAAAACCTCAAACTGATATACTTGTGACAATTTTACCCGAAACCATTTTTTTTACCACAAAAAATCCCAAACTGGTACACTTGTGACAAATTTACCCCGAACTAATTTTTTTACCACAAAAAACCCTAAATTGGTACACTTGTGACAATTTTACCCCAAACTAATTTTTTGACCACCAAAATTCCCAAACTGGTACGCTTGTGATAATTTTACCTTGAACTAATTTTTTGACCACTAAAAATCCTAAACTGGTACATTTGTGATAAATTTACCTTCGTTAGTGTTCGTTAAATTGGATTAATATCATGAAAAATCACAAATTGGTAAACTTATGACAAACAGAGGGGTAAAACCCAAAATCGGTACACCTGTCAATTACTACGTGTCATTAAACTTAGCAATTTAATAGTAAAATTTAACGGAAACTAACGGAAGGTAAATTTGTCACAGGTGTACCAGTTTGGAGTTTTTTGTGGTCAAGAAATTAGTTCGGGGGTAAAATTATCACAAGTATAACTGTAACATCCTGAATTTCAACCCATTTCCGGGATCCAATGAAGTGGATATTATTTCTCATTTGATTTTAGTACGTCTCGCCCGGAGCTGACCCCTCGCGGGATATTGACCAATGGGAAAAGCTAACTAGGAAAACGGTACGTGGACCGGGGACCCGATCGCGAATAGGGCACTGATTCCGAGAAACGGCAGGGAAGTATTTTAGGCCAGTGTGGACCGATTCTAGGAAGGTGACGGATCTGGTTTGCCCAACGACGTACGATCGGATCGCGGGTGATTCCGCTCGATCGAGAGTACGAGTGGCAAACAAATCCCGAACTTGAACCGAACGATCGTGACCCCTGGAATAACCAATAATTCCTTGCGTTCTCCCGGTAATTGAGACCGTCATGACTCGAGTGACCCTAGGTCGATACGCGTAACCCCTAAACAGCCACCCGTCAGTGAGAGGCTCTAAAAATTTGAATTGAGCAATTTTGATCGCCAAATTGGACCCGAACTTCGATGTCGAAATTCTATGGGTGTTTGCGACTATTTTGCAAGGCCAACGTCGTTTTGGTGTGGCCACATACATTTGGGGCTAGTCCAGCTGAAAATTGGAATTTCAGTTGAAATTGGAAAAATTACGATTTTGCCCCTCCAAACTTTGCAATCGATTTTCGAGAGCTTAAAAGGTTATTTTTGTGAATCCGACGTCATATTATGTTGGCCACACACATTTGGAGTCGGTACGGTCGAAAAATGGAATTTCGACTAGGGATCGGAAAATTTCCGTTTTACCCTTATGGCCTATTTTTGGGGTTCCGAATTTTGGACAATTTGGGAAATTATGTGGATAATTATCAGTCCAAATGCATTGGACAAGAATACCCCTCAATTATTGGACTTTGGTGTAATGTGAACCAAGTGTTAAAAGGGCAATTTGGTCATTAAAGGAAAATTTGACTATTTAGTCAAACCCTCCACTCTCTCTCCTCATTCTCACCATTATCACCTCCGGCCATCCCCTCTCCCCCACGATCAGCCCCTCCTCTCCCGTCCTCTCCCGTCCTCTCCCTTGCTCGACCGTGAGCCACCCCCGTGCGCCGCTGCTCGCCGGAGCAAGCCGCCGGCCACGCCGCTCGCCGCTTCGCCTTGCTCATCCCACCCTCACCGACCAGAACCTCCGCCGTAAGCCGCTGGAACGCCGCCGCTGATTTCGCCGTTTACCGGCAATCGGCCGCCCGTTTCAGTCGATTAGAATTTTGGGGAGCGTAAATAGGTGAGTGGAAATCCTAATCCTTAATTAGGATTATGTGCACTTTGGACAAGTTTTAGGGGTTAATTAGTGGGGGCTGATTTGGGCTGATGTTGTGGTGATTTTAAGGGCCTAAGGTAATGATTTAGGGATGGTTTTAAGGCTGTGGAGACTTGGTTCAGAGGTGTTTGAGCTGGATTTGCTTAATGATGCAAGTTTATTGATTTTCGGATTACTGATTTTACTGTACCTCTGCGCTTTGTTATTTTTGTTGTGATCATTGTAGGCCGAATCTGAAGAAGTTTTCTTCATTAAAGTTGTTCCCAACATATTTAAGTATGACATACTTTAATTTGAGAATTTTTGGAAATCATTTGAGGCCATTCGGAAGTCCATCTTTGGACCGAAACAAAACTGCCCGATTTACTGTTCACCCGACCTTCTGGTCTGTTCGAATTTTTTATAAATTTTTCCAGGCCTATTTTCAAAATACTTCCTTCACAAACATTGTTGGGGACATTTGTGGATATAACATATAAAAATTTTAAGGCTTTCCAAAATGATTTGGGTAATGAATGAGTTGTATTTTTGATGGCCTGAGGGGCTGTCCGAGCGAATCGGATTTTGTCCGACTTGGAGTGTTAAAACGAGGTGTTTACGGTTAGAACTGGGTTTCTAGTTCTTCACGGAAAATGTTCATCGAGATGTTTTATACAATATATCCAAATTTCATAATTTTTGGAATTGATTTACCATTTATTTAAAATATATTTCTGTCACTGTGCAACTGCCCAGTTTGGATCCGATTTTGCATATTTCCGATTTTTCTCTCTCTCGGACTGATTAGTGGCTGATTTGGGTACAAATTGTGCTTGATTGTGTTAAATTTTGTGGTGCCTCGTTTGAGCGACTCGATGGTTGAATGGTACTTTGTCGTGCTCAATTGTTTAACGCCATGCCGCCTAATTTCGTGTTCGAGCAATGCAGTGTGTGATTGGCCAATCATTGGTGTGAATGTTTATTGCCAAGTGCGTAAATTATGTTTTGGGCCACATGGTACTAGTTGGCAAAGTGTGCATGTTATGCGAATAAGTATGAGCAATTGATTGGCTATTTGAGCACATTGATTTGGCATGTTTGTTGAAATGCCGTGCTGAAATTGAATGCTCATGTTGCATTATACGACATTGCATGGCCACGCATTGTGTATGACTAGTGTGAGGCATGTGACGAAATTGTGCGAGAATGCGTGTCTGCCATGAGCATGTGATCACCTAATTATACCCTGATATGTTTTACGCGGGGTTCAGATAAAAATTGGCAGTGTGCCGTGTGATCACTTATTGGCCTTCGGGTCGTGCCGTCTTCATGCACTTTGTAGCAGGATGATACCCGGTATGTCCGGAAGACGACCAACCTCATGCACTTTGTAGCAGGCTCTGGTTCGTAAGGAGATCGGTGTTGCGCCTCATGCACTTTGTAGCAGGTTAGAGACACTGGGCCTGGGGCGTTTTTACGCTGGCCGTGGAGTGTTGTGAGCCTTCGGGCCGTGGCCTTCGGGTCAATTTCTAATTAAAAATGAGCTATATGCTAGTGTGCA